CCCTCCCTCACCATCAGGCCTCTACACAGTCACTAGACATGGGACTGAGATTGTATAACTGTCACCAGGGAGGCTTCACATCTTGGTGAGACCAGAAGACTCATCTAGCTTATCAGCACAGCACACAGTCCACTAGTCTCCCCCCAGCTTCCAAATTTTCTCTTCCCAAACAAGACTGGGCAAAACATCTCTTCAAACTTTCTCCTATACTTTACCACCAGCACACACCAAGGCTGAACTGATGTGCCTACCTGTACTATCGCTGAGGACTCCAATTGCCAAGGAACATGGCAACCGGAGCCCAAGCCTCTCCTAGCTTTGGAAGAGCCACTTGGTTCAGTGGGGCTTTGTAGGTATGGACTGAAAGCAGGGGGGTGCCCATATCTTATCAGAATTCAACAGAAGCTGGGGGACTAACTCCTAGCTTAGCAGTCTGTGACCTTTAGATAATTTATTTTTGAAGACCCTTAATAGAAAAATAATACATGATTTATAAATAAAGAAGCCAACGTGCGGTGCAAAGAACTCTGGATGCTTATAATCAGCACACAAGAGGGAGAAAATAATGGATTAGAAAGCACACATGAGCTGTGAAGAGCTGGATACAGAATCTGCATGTCCCTAACTGCTGAGGTATGATAGAAACATCTCTATCCTCCCATCTTCTCTGGGTGGTTCAAAGTTCCATCCTTTTATTCCTGTTCTTCTGGTCTCTTAGCATGAAGCCCATGATGATCAGCCACATTTAACATGTTGCCACCATTTATCAGATAACATCTCAAGTGCTCAGCTATTGTCCCTGGGTTCTCATGCAAAACATCCTGTACTTGAGTCTGCCAAACTTATTTTGCTAGACAATATTTTGTGAGGGCTCTGATAAACCTTGATGTAACTTGTGCAACACAGTTGGGTAAGATGATTTAGGAGTATCTGAAGGCAGAGAAAAGAGGTGTAGAGATACTTGGGAGTCTCTCTCAACAAACTGAAGATGGGAGAGAAAGGAAAGCAACACACAAACACAGTTTAACACTTTTTACTCCATAGAGGCTTTGGCAACATTTGCTCTTTGGTTTGAAAGTAAAAACACCAACTGAAAAACAGTTAATAGTGGAAGATCCCTTTTGCCCCATAGGATGGTGTCTGTCAATCACTTATACAAGGCAACCACTGAACCAACACCAAAAACCCACCCCAGTCCCCACACTGCCAGTCAATGTAGGTGGGTGCCTCGCAGAATTCTCTTCCACACTATTTCTACCACTTTTTCCAATAAAGAAAACAAACGATCTCTGGAAGGCACAGCAATGGAGACCAACCATCTTCTCCCTGCTCAGAACATATTTAATGGAACAGCTTGGACTTAAAACAGTTATTTTTACCTTACAAAAATAAATCAGGATTATAGTATCACTCTATAATCCACTTCGCCCCCCCCAATCCTCCCTCCTCCCCCTTGCCCCAGGGACAGCATTTTAAACACTGTCAATGAAACGTGCACACATACCCACTCACTCATACCTGCTCCTGGAGGAGATGCCATCATCTAAGCTACCCATTTTCTTTCCCCCTTTAAATAGAACAGAATTGCCCTCTGGCCAAGCAAAACACATCAACTACAGCCCTAAGGCCACTCATGTCCAATTCAACTGATTTGCGTGACGATTGATAAAGCTTAAGGCCAACTTCTGCAAACCTAGGTGCTTACAGTTCTAATTCCTTTTCTAAGTAACTGAATCAGTGGCCTTTTTGTTTTCTGTGGCCACACAAAAAATAATGGAACATGTTTAGCATTCCTGTGGTTGGGCTGGCCATTTCTGAGGTACCTAATCCTTACTTCTGAAATCTTACCTTGAGCACCAGAGGCTTTAAATTTTGGGTTCAAATTCTTACTACCTCCCAGAAATTTCCATAGCCCTACAATACATTCCCCTTCATCAGGATGCAGCTGCACTAGGTGGAAGACTTCGATAACAGCCCACAGTGCACACAGGCTTGATGCATGCATCCCTCCAGCTGGGAATGTTGCAGTAATACTCTACATTTCCACACATTGAACATGGATTCAAGAAACCTTGAGCTTGATTTTGTAACATGATTTTAATGGTGTTCTGGCAGCATGAAATGGACTTATGCAGGTGAGAACTGCTACCAGAAATTAACCCTTGCCCAGGTAACACAGAACTAACCTAAGGGCTCTTATAGCACATTTGTTCCCTGAGTAGGGGACTGAGCAGGAGGAAGAGGGCTGGAATGCATCGCCATTATCCACCTCAAGGACCACAAGCCTATCTGCCACATTAAGAATCTTGGGCACAAGCCCACACAGAAACTGTTAGCCCCTCTAGAAACAGAGCGGGCTAGGAAGTGTGCACCAACAGAGCTCTTAGGACAAGTAATGCAAAAACAGTGACAGGAGTGAGGGTCAGAGGTTAATAACAAGTGCTCCAAGGGGGGACACCAAGCACAGCATACTGGCCAGAGCTCACTGGCCCTCACTCAAGGACCACAGGAAGCAAAATTAGTTAGAGCAGGAGACTGCCCTACCATAACCCAGCAGGCCCCATTCTGTATTTCTATCCCAAGCACAGGAATGTGCTAATAGAAGCAGCAGGCACCCTTTGAATGGTCTCATCCCCACAACACACCACATCAGCGCAGGCCAAGATGCATTGTATTGAGTTGCACAGGTTTCTGGAGAAAATAGACGGCTGTTTTAAAATTTCATAGATTCATAGATGCTAGGGTCAGAAGGGACCTCAACAGATCAATGCGTCTGACCCCCTGCCTAGGCAGGAAAGAGTGCTGGGGTCAGATGGTCCCAGCCAGATACCTATCCTGCCTTCTCTTAAAGACCTTCAAGGTAAGGGAGAGCACCACCTCCCTTGGAAGCCCATTCCAAATTTTGGCTACCCTTACCGCAAAGATGCTTTTCCTGATGTCTAGCTGAAATCTGCTCTCTGTCAGTTTGTGACCATTGTTCCTTGTTACCCCAAGAGGTGCCCTGGTGAACAGAGCATCTCTGATCCTTTGCTGTTCCCCTAATGAATTTGTAGGCAGCCACATCACCTCTCAGCCTTCTCTCGTGGAGGCTGAAGAGGTCCAGGTCCCTCAGTCTCTCCTCATAGGGCTTGTCCTGTAAGCCCCTAACCATATGAGTGGCCCTCCTCTAGACCCTCTCAAGTCTATCAACATCCTTCTTGAAGTACAGCACCCAAAACTGGACACAGTACTCTGACTGCAGTCTGACCAATGCCACAGAGGGCAAGGAGTATCACCTCCTTGATTCTATTCGTCATGCGTCTGCTGATGCATGATAAAGTGCGGTTAACTTTGCTGATGATTTCGTCACACTGACGACTCATGTCCATCTTGGAGTCCACTACAACTCCGAAATCCCTTTCCGTTTCTGGGCTGCTGAGAGGGTCACTTCCCAGCCAGTAGGGTGCTGAATATTTTTGCACTCTGCGCTTGTCCTTGTTGAACTGCATCCTATTGTGTACTGCCCTCTTTTCTAACCTGTCCAGGTCTGCCTGCAATCGTTCCCTACCCTCTGGAGCGTACACTTCACCCCACAATTTAGTATTGTCCACAAACTTGCACAAAGTACACTTCATGCCCACATCCAAGTCACTGATGAAGCAAATGAAGAGTACAGGTCCAAGGACCAAACCATGCAGGACTCCACTACCCACATCCTTCAAAGTCAATACCAACCCATCTACTACCACTCTCTGGGTGCGACCACTAAGCCAATTTGCCACCCACTGGACTGTGTAAACATCTGTGTCTCAGCCTCTTAATTTATTCATGAGAATGGGATGAGATACTATATCGAAGGCCTTGCTAAAATCCAAGAAAATGACATCCACCCCTACTCCTATGTCTAAGCATTTTGTGACCCTGTCATAAAACAAAACCAGATTGGTCAGGCATGATCTACCTGCTATGGATCCATGCTGGTTTCCCTGATTTCAACAAGGCTGTTTGAAAATTTCACTTGGCAGGGCCCTCACACCTACTCAAACCTTCCTCCACTTAGCAAGTAACATCCTGTACCTGCCACAGATAGAATGAGCTATCACGTCACTAGCATCAGGGGCAGGCCTCTGGCAAGTGCTACCAGCAGTGACTTTCCAAATGAAAGCGCCCTCAGGCAGGACACAGCAAAATCTTCCACCTGAATGATGGAATACCAACCCTCACCCTCAGTTCTCAGTGGAGTACCAAGCCTCAACTCCCCATGCCTGTCTCTATATACGAGACCAACTTATACACAGGACAGACAGAATTACTGCTCCCTCCTGTCACCAAAAGCACCTGCTAAGGGCTGGAGCAGGTGGTCAGGATACCCACGATACACTGTACTGCTCAGCCAGCACTGCCAGTCTAGAGAAGTCCAGCACATGACTCACTGTTTGGCTCCAAGTCAGAAGCATACAGCCAAACACAACCAGAATGGGCACTATTGCCAGGAGGAAACAAAATTAAGTGTAGCTTGGTTTCCTATTTCTAAAACTGGCCTAAAGCTTGGAAGAGGTACTGAGTTGAAAAGACTGAGAATGCGACAGAGTTTCCTCCACCCCTGCAGCAATAGGTCAGAAATCAAACTGGGACAAAAAGGAGGATTATTTCTTAATAACAACAGTATTGCTCAGCGATTGCCCCCTCCCCCTTCTGGCACCTCACAGCAAAAGTACTGAGATTGCAGGAACCGCACAGCCACTCCCTACTATATATTCATATCCGCACCTCTCTTATCTCAAGGGACTGGTATTTACCACCCATAATAAAATCTATTGTCTGCCATTTAGCTATAGTACAGCCTCATTAATCCAGATTTTGGTCTCTCCCCAGCAGTTCAAACAGCAGCTGGCAGAGCAACTGTGAGTGAGGTCTATTACTGCAACTCTAGTGGCAAACACTAATGCAAAACATTGACTTGTATATTTAAACTGTCAGTAACTGCTGCTGTCAAAATAACTCCAATGTGAACACTGGGACACATTCTTGATTTGTTTTGTTTTAATTTTAAATTAATGCATTCACTTCTGAGTCCATTCAGAAGTGTGGGTCATTCCCAAAGGACCTCCCAAGGCATCTGTGCAAATTAGTGTAAAACACAGGTTTCTGCATCTGGAACAATAAAACTCGCCTCCACGGCCAGGTCTCTTATATTTGAATGGACACTAAAATTTGGTTTCTTAGTATATTCCTCCTGAATCTAAGCTTCCATTTGCGATGCCTCAAGCACCACCACCCACCACCCCCAGCCCATTCACAAAGACAGACCTGAACAAGATGAACTTGCCTGGATCTTGTTTCATATTTTACTCCTACAGTTAAACATACACTGAACTCACTATATATTAAACATCAAAAACAGCTACCTAGAACTGAATATCTCTTTTAAAATCCAAGTTATCACATCTCTTTTTTTAAAGATCCAAAATGACATCAAATTAAACTATACAGGATTCTTTTTTCTTTTTAATGAATATTAACAAACTGCTTTAAAAAAGCAAAATGGAAAAAAATAACAATGCAGACAGAAAACTTGATAGGAGGAGGTTCTATATATCTGAGGCAGCATGAAATATGATGAGCATCAGTCACTCCTCCCTGGGCATCAGAGGACACGGTTTATTTTGGAGTTCTTAAAGCTGCGAACGAGGAAAAGAGAACTCCGCCCCATTCATTCAAACGGTTCCAGCCCCCTCAAGGAAACAAGCTCTGGTCCTCTTTGCAATGCAGGAAGTGAAACTGTAATAGAGAAGAAAGCCCTCCCTCCTCCACGTGAATCATTTGAATCTCTCGAGACTAAACAGGCACAACCCAGCCTTCTGCAAGGAAACGGAGGCATCTTGTTCCACTGTAACGCTTATCATACGGACCCCCTCTCCAATGCAGACCATTTAATGGCCACTGCTCTCAATAATTACAACAGACTACAGCACTCCCGGTTCAAACAAACACTGGTCCACCAAGCCAAGCAAAGTGGGAGGAAGGAAACAATTATGGGTAATCCAATAGGCATGCCTCTTGCCTGGAAAAAGTGTCCAGATGTCAGTTGATGAACCTTGGTCATGAGAAGCCAACAATACTGTGCAGCTGGCAGCTTTTGGGCAGCTTCATCAATCAGGATAATATGATAGGGAATTTGTATTAGGATCTAGGCATTTATCCTAGTTGCAATAAAATGATCTATATCCTTCTCTAGAGAATTTGCAAGGGGCAAGGAAGAGGAAGATCAGTCCACAGGGAATCCCGCTAGGAAAAGTATTCATTCCCTTATCTTCTGCCAACCTGCCTCTTCCCAAAGAGACAATTATGTAAATATGGATTAGCCTCCACAAACAGAACTAGAAAAATCATAACCCTAAAGGTCACGATGTGATTCCCTGGACGTGGAGTTTGGGTTATAATTTCAGAACTCCTGATCGGATACGCTTAAGCTCATTTCCAAATAAACATCTCTTCTGTAGAAATCCTGGAGACTGCACTTTAGCAGTAGCATCTTCCCCACTCCTTGGTGTTTTACTGCTACTTATTATCCCCTGGTTTACGCATCAATGCAAGTGCAAGGGCTACTATTTTACATCCAATCCAAGTGCATTGCTAAGTGCTATAAAAGGATCTGTGGGCTGGTAGCAGTTTCAAGACCCTACAATGGCACTGTCCCTCAAGACAGCTGTAAGTCTTAGGAAAATCCAAGGTGTCTCTAGATGAGCAGCTTGGAAGCTTGAGGGTTCTCAGACTATTCCAGTCAGGAACACAGGTGGCCTGAGGGGTTAGCCTTAGGGGTTGCAGTTTCTTTACGTAATGTGCAACATTCATGCCCCACCTCAATTCCAGAGTTATGGGGGAGAGGTGGGGAACAATAAGAGGAACAGAGCCTTTGTTCAAAGCTACTGCATGACTTCAGTCAGCTAAGACTGCAAAGGCAACAAAGTGCCTTCGGAGCACAGCAGTCCCATGGCTTCTCCTCCCTGCATGCTACTAGGACATACAGTGGGGGGAGTGCCCAGGGGCATTTAATCAGACAGCATGGTTTTAAAACGGTCTTTATAAGCTACCTTGTTAAGATGGGACTAGTAAGCGGGAAGGCCCCTGTGCCCCCAAGGAGAAGTAGTGCTGGGGCCTGGCTCAAGAGACCTGGGCCTCTCTCAAGAAAAAGTTGAGTTAGCCAGCTCTCTCAGGAGACCTCGGTACTGGGGGACATGCGAGAAGACATGTTTACAGGCAGTGGCTGAGAAAGGACCTGTGAGCTCAAACACTGAACTGCAGCTGCAAGGAAAACTATAAACCAGGAGAAAACAAACAGGAACAGGATTCATTTCCATCCTTTGCCTCCCTTTTCCTCCATACCCTCTCTTGGGCTTTGCACGTCACTAAGACACCAAATGCACGTGGAAATGTACAGAGGCCAGGGTGATGTCTAACTGGACTGGCAGATCTTCCCCCACTGCCCTCCCAAGGTTCAGGCATCCGTCTTTTACAAGAAAAGAAAAGGAGCTGTTGAAGAGGTTCACATGCAAGCAGAAACCTATGGGGACAGCTCAGGGCAAGCACGCGGCCACCTGATATGCCCCCTCGGTAGTGTGCTGGACACTGTGCTCCTGCAGCAGGCCCAAGTCCAGGAACCTCTCACCACACCACATGCACTTGTACTGCTGCTCCCGGGCATGCACACTGTGGTGCTTGTTGAGGTGCTCACGCTGCTTGAAGGCCTTCTCGCATGACGGGCACTTGTATGGCTTCTCGCCCGTGTGCACCCGGCGGTGGCGCTGCAGGTCCGATGCATATTTGAATCGTTTCTCGCAGTCTGGGCACTTGAGGGGCTTCTCACGCACCGGGTCACAGCGGTGCTGCACAAACTCTGAGGAAGAGAAAAAGCGTCTCTCGCACAGTGTGCACTTGAGCGGCTTCTCGGTGCAGTGCGACAGCTGGTGCTTCTGCAAAGCCGAGGACCTCTTGTAGGACTTGTTGCACACGGTACACTTGAAGGGGCGCTCAGCGTTCTGCACACATTTGTGCCGCAGAAGCTCCGAAGACTGGTTGAAGCCCTTCTGACACACATTGCACTTGAAGAGGTTCTCAATGCCATGCACGTGCTGGTGGTAGACCAGGTGGGAGGGCTGCACAAAGCCCTTCTCGCAGAGGCTGCACTTGAAGGGCTCCTCCACCTTGTGGGTGCGGCGGTGACGCATTAGGGCATACTGTTGTTTGAAGCTCATCTGGCAGAGGTCGCACTTGAAGGGCCTCTCCTCACTGTGGGTGCGCTCATGCTGCCGCAGGTCTGAGGGGCGCTTGAACGACTTTTGGCACTCACCACAGTGGAAGGGGCGCTCCCCACTGGGTGTGCACTGGTGGTGCAGCAGCTCTGATGACTCCTTGAAGTGCAGCTCACAGACATTGCACTTGAAGAGGTGCTCACCCGAGTGGGCATACATATGGCGGACCAGGTGTGAGCGATGCTTGAAGGTCTTTTCACACACTGTGCACTTGTATGGCCGCTCTGAGCTGTGTGTCCGCTTGTGGTGCACCAAGTGTGAAGACTGGCTGAAGCTCTTGTCGCACAGGGTGCACTTGTAGGGCTTCTCGCCCGTGTGGATGCGCTCGTGCCGCGACAGCTCCGAGAGGTGCTTGAAGGTCTTCTGGCAGATGGAACAGCTGTATGGCTTGTCTGATGGGTCCAGGGGCTGGGCATGCTCTGCCTCAGGAGGCTTGTAGGTCTTCTCACAGATGGAGCACTTCATGGCATTGCCATTGTGCACATTATGGTGCTGTGCTAGGGAGGTGAGTAGGGAGAAGCCCATCTTGCACACACCGCACACAAAGGGTTTCTGTTCCACCTGGATGCACTGGTGCTCCAGGAGGTCGGTGGCCTGGTGGAAGATCTTCAGGCACTGCGTGCACTGGAAAGACCGGTCATGCCCAGGCAGGCACTGGTGCTCATGTGGATTGGACAGGTGAGTGAGGTCATGGCCACACACGCCACATTTGTGGGAGGGTTCTCCGGCCTGGATTGGTGGGTGCTGGTGGTGCTGCAAATTGGGGTCTGGCTGGAGCAGGATACCGTAGACTGCACACCCCAAGGCGTTCTCAGCCGTGCTCGGAGGGATTGAATGCTCTGCAAGTGCCGCTGTCCCAGTGTGATGGGGTTGCTGTTGTGCTTGTTGTTGCTGTTGTTGTTGTTGTTGTTGTTGCTGCTGCTGCTGCTGTTGCTGTTGCCAGCTTTCTGACATGCTTGGGAAAAAGAAATGGGATTTCAGCACTGACAGCTTCAGCTTCTCAGTCAAAAGGATTTGATGAAGATAATATAATTCCCAGCAGCTGGCCCTGAATTTGGGGATGGGAAATCCAGCCCAGTCTCAAATCTCAGGAGGAGAAGATGGAAAGCACCCTTTGCAAGATCATTTCAAGTTTCAACAACAACAACAACAACAAAAGAATATATATTAAAGCCAAAAGCAAAAGTGTTTTGAAGATGATGGGAGGCCCTTTTCCGTGCTGGCCTGTTGCGCTCACATTTGTGAAAGGTGATGGAGGCACTCCAAGGAACAGCTCTGCAGGGAAGAAGACAGCTGACATCAGTTCCCAAAGGTAAGCAAGACACCTTCACATTCAATCCTTTTTCCTGTGGCTCAGTTTTACTATTCCGCAAAAAAACCAAAGCAAACGTAGGGGTTCTGAAATAGGAGGAACATGGGCCAAGTTTTATTTGGTACTAGCAGGGGACCAATCCTGTCACAACCCAGTTAGACATTCTCTTCAGAGTCCCTAACTCACACTATACAAGCTGTCCTGCAGTGATGAGCTGCCTTGTTTTCTGGCTCCCTGCACTGCGAGTTGGATATGGTCTTCCAAAAGAGGATGCATGACTGTGTGTCAAGCAGCTGTTTCACTATACAGATAGTCTTGCGATTCTTTCAGTCACATTTAAGGCATAAATTAAGATCATCTAGTGACCTGTCAGCATCCCTTGCTCAATTATCTCAGCAGAGGACAGACTATACAAGTTAATTGGATTAATACAAGCAAGGCTCAGATTTGGTTTCAATAAGTGTTTTTGTTGCAAACGCACTGGCTAGAGACCATGGCAGTAGCTTTCTAGCCACAACACAAACCCCCAACCTTTTTGGATTATTTGATGTAAAGCTCTCTCAAGGGAGTATACAACTATTTGACTAAAAATGCTGCATTCCAAAAATGCTTACAAACATCTGTAGCAGCAACTGCAACAGGAGCTTCCTGAATTCAGACATACTAAGCACACAATATTAGTTTCACTGTCAGGCAGACTGAAGTGCTGGATACATGCTGCTTTATGCTAAAAAAAAATCCCAATTTTATCAGTAATGCTCTCCGATTCAAGTAGGACTGGCTGAGTAGCACAAGCTCACTGGGAGAAAAAGTCCATGGCGATGCTTCAGAATTTACTTCCTGTCCCTATCTTTGTTAGCATGCCTGACAATCCAGGTGCAGAAATGGAATCCAACCCTGAAGACGAGATTCTCAGCTGTAGTTCCACTGGCAACATTCTATTTAGAGACTGGGAGGAACAAGAGAACTCCTATAAAACAAATATTTTTGTTTTATGGGCCCTTCTCAACATTAACCCCATTACAGGCAGAACACAGAATCCACATGTGGGTGGGTCTCTTAGTGGATCTAGCCAGAGCACATCATGTAAGTGGTCAGCTGCAAACAGACATGGTTAAAACTATGGAAGATAAAAAATGGAAACCAAAAACTTAAGCTGTGTTTTTACTCATTAGTCCAATAACAAGTATCACATTTAACAGCAAGAGGTTTTGATCCCTCTAGATGTATTATTTTTGTTCTACTACTAAGAGGACTAAATCCATTAGGAGACAAGGGAAGAACCAGCAAGGCCCAAGAGCAGGAAAAACCCTAGTGAATTCCCAGTACTATGCTGCAGCTGTTGAGAAGAATGGTACTGGTATTCCTACCAGGCCATTATTCCAAGTCCCTGTTCAATATCTACATCCTTCCTATCAGTTATTAAGTTATAGGTGCCTGTGAGTTGAGCAAAAATAGCTGGCTTAGTCTTCCACTCATGAAGAAAGACTGTAACAAGTGGCATTAAAAAGAGCCAGCCCCCAACTCTATATGGTACACCACAGACCTCACCACAGGACATGGGCGGACCAAACAATCATTCCAATGAAAAAAATGGAGATGGATGAGACCAATTGCACACACATTAATCTACTCTGTTTTGTCTGTCTGCTCTATCCTGCGGTAAATGGAAGTTAAACCAGGGCAGCATACCCCTGAATGAAACTAATCACTTAAATGACCATGGTTTAGCATTCACCTATCATGGGACAGAGGAGACAGATGAAGTTATAGCAGATCATCCTGATACACATTAAAGAGTGAGGAGTGGTCTTAAATGCATAATGGTGTCATCTCTCCATATGCCCAAAAGTATTTTGGTACTCATCATGATGCCTTACTACCAGTAGGATATTTCACTAATTTGCCCTTATAAAATGGTATGGATGATGTTCAGAAATGACATAAAAAAAAATCTCACAGGTAATGAAACCAGAGAAATTACCCTCCCCAACCCCACATAGTCCATCCTACCCCAGCTTTAAAATTAAGAGGCAAGAACATTTATATGAATCAAATACCAGTAGCTACAGTATCTGAAATAAAAGTTTAAAGGACCCAACATCCTTTCAGGACCCAAACCAACCACCAACTCCCCTTCAGCAAGGTTATTTTATACATAGCTGTTATGGTGCTCAGCAAGTGGCCATTTCGTATTAGCAGATGTAGGATTCTGGATGTTCAGACAGTGATCTGACACAGCAGGAGTATCGCACAGAATTTACAAATACAGCAAGCAGCTAGGAAATACCAACCTGGGTTAACTGAGGACTGTATACAAGCAAGCAAGGTAAAGCCAATTCCCAGTCAATATCGCTCCTTGGTGAGATTCACAGGAGGGAATTCAAAGAACTTAAGAATGAAAGCAATACTCCCAGACTGGAGCACTGCAGCAGAAAGGCCTGAAGCACAGGGAGGTCCGCTCACCCTGTGCCTCTCCTCCCACCCTGGGGCAGTGAGTCTACCTGCCTTCTAATAGCCTCCCGCTTCAGGCCCAGCTTCGCTTCCTGCTTAGCCTCCTGCAGAAGTCACATCATCGCAGCGACGGTCCTGAAGGAGAAGACGACTTCATGGCACCGGCTGGCAAAATAAAAGGTGGTGATGGGACGGGGAGAAGGGCTCAGGGTCCACACAAAGTCATTTCACAGCAGTCAAGAGGAAATGGCAGAAGGGCCTGTGCTTTGACTCTCCTCCCTGCTCTAGCTTGCTCCAGCCCAGGGCTCCCGCGCTCCGACGTCCGGCCGGCCGGCCGCAGCACAACCTTGAGCTCAAACCTGTTCAACAAGAGCAGTCGTGAGGCGCAGCACCCAGGACGGTGCCGCGGGCCCGCGCCGCCCCTGCCGCATCCCCAGGAGCCCCGAGTCGGGGCGGGAGCTTCTCCCCTGCCCGGGAGGAGCGAGGGCCGGGCCGGCTGGAGCAGCAGGACCTCCCGGGCCCGGCGGACGGGAGCGCAGGCAGGGGGGCCGCGCCGCGCCGGAAGCCGGAGCGAGCCCGGGGCACAAAGTTGAGGACAAAACAAACGCAGGGGGCGGCGCCG